TCAACATATTTAACAACTGGTACGACCCAAAGCACCGACCTACTGAAGGGTCAGGGAGCTGGGGGTGGGCTTGGGGGGCGGGCGGGTAGACTCAGGGATTCAGGAAAGCTCTGGGTAGGCAGCTTCGGAAGGGAAACTTGTGATGGCCAGCCTCCTGCCATTTGTATACTGTGTGTACAGTGCTTTCGGTTTGTCATTCATTCGACAAATATTAAATCCCTACAATGTGGAGAGTCTCATGGGAAAAACAGAGGCAGTCAGACATGCCCTCACAGCTTAGCCTATTTCCTGGTAGACTACATGAGAAATGTAGCTCAGTCGCTGCTCTAGATACCAGAAAGCGGCCTGTGTTTTAAGATAGGTCCAGGAAAATGGGTGTGGCAGACAAAAAAGGAGGGATCTTTCTGCTTGTTGATCGGAGAAGGTTTTTCTGGAGTGCTCATTTCAACTACGGAGTTTAAAGGGTGGGGAAGATTTTATGAGTGAGAGCTAAAAGGGACAGGTTGTGGGAAGAGAAGTGGCACACGCAGGTAAGAAATGGTAAAGAAGGGAGGGAAGGAGGGAGGGAGGGTGGGTCAGATAAGTAAAGGCAACACACAGTTGTAGCCAGCCCTCAGTGGAGGTGGCAGACAGGTAAGGGGGTGGGAGAGATCCCTGGAGTTCAAGGCAAGTTCCCTGGGGAGCCCTCTCATTTCCAAATTGGCCAGGCACTCCCTCCCTCAGTTCTCACCAAACTGAAGAGCAAGCCGGCATCTGCCCAGTGGCCTGAGGAAATCCAGTCCCTGCCTGGCTCTGAGGAGGCAGGCGAGTGCTGGCCACTGACCGCTGCCCCTGGACCCGCTGCCTGGGAACAGGATGCATTCTCCCAGCGGCGTGGAGGCAGCCCAGGCGCTGATCCAGTCCGGTTCTGGGGCCAGAGGGGTGCTTGGCCATGGCGGTGGGTGCTCCTGGCACTAACTCAGTGTGGGCGGGAGGAGGGAAGAGGAGGGCTGGTAAAGACAGACCTAAAGTAGGAGTAGGCAGAGAACACCGGAGAGGGCATCTGAGAGGGATGGTTGATTCTCAGAGTCGGATGCAGACACCATTGAGATTAGAACGTTGTTTTTCCATCCTCTAGAGTAGATGGGTCCCTCATAACTTTAGTTGAATGACAGAAACTAGTGACCTACTAAATGTAAGAGCATCGGCTCAGGGTTCCACCAATCGGGTTCAAGTCCTTTCCCTAGAGTGATGCATTGGCAGCGAGGGCATGGATGCAAGGTGAAGTTAGGAAAAGGGAAATCGGTGAGTAGCAGTTTGTCAGTGCTTCTCCACCATAATGCAGGAAGACGGTACTCTGTTCTCCAGCCATAGAGTCCTAACAAGAAATACCTTAGAGCCGTGGTGGGCAAACTGTGGCTCTCGAGCCACATGCGGCTCTTTGGCCCCTTGAGTGCGGCTCTTCCACAAAATACCACGGCCTGGGAGAGTCTATTTTGAAGAAGTGGTGTTAGAAGTTTAAGTTTAAAAAACTTGGCTCTTAAAAGAAATTTCAGTCGTTGTACTGTTGATATCGGGCTCTGTTGATTGATAAGCTTGTCGACCCCTGCTAGAGCAAATGCACATGGAGTAACTGGCTGCCCTGCCTGCGGGCTGTGCTCCCTGCGAACACCCACACGCTCTGCCCTTCATCTGCCTTCGGACCTGCAGCCCAGTTTCCTGAGGGGACCTGTGTTAGCGCCTCCTGTGTACAAACCAGCAGTTTTCAAACAAAGCCTTCCTCCTGCTGCGGTGTTTCTCAGATTGGAGTCTTCAATCACATTCACAGAGGTCCATGAATTCTTTAGAATAACTTTAAATTTAGTGTTTTCATTTTCAAGATGAATAAAAATTTCAACATAAGCATTACCTGGATTGACACCTTTTTTTACAGAGTAACACCATGTAATAGCAATGCCCGGTCTGCATCCGGAGCGCTACTTAGGCTTGCCTTTATGGCTGTTTTTAAAGTCTCATAATGTAAGAGTGAATTTAATGTTACCCAAACTGGGATATAGTCAAGAGTCTACACGTTTTCAATTTTGAGAAAGAGTTGCTGTTATAAAGAATCCAGCAGGCTGGCTTATACATTCGTCTCATAAGTTTGGCTTTGATGAACTGATCCTTTCCAGCTTAACCACTCAGAGGGAAGAGGCCCGGAAGTCACTGACTGTAAAGGTGAGGATCAGATCTGTCATATTTGTACCAATATTTTGCAGATCAGTAAAGCAGCCAGATGGTCCCCTGAAAAGTTCTGCTCTCTTAGCAGGACAGATGGATTGGGATTGGTTAATCGGAGAAACCAACCTTAGATTTGAAATAAAAGGCTTTTGGTCCTAAAACCCTTAATCGCTGCTCTGAAATTTAGGCAATAAAATATAGGCAATACTACTACTCCTGCTACATCACCGCCCCAGAGGGATGTTGTGCTAATAATTTCTGGCTTTCTGTCACACTGAGTCTGTGTAGCCCCACTCCTGGCACAGGACTCCAGAGGCTTACAATCTGATGAGATGAGAACAGAGGGGCATGGGAAAGAACAGCGATTGGGAAAGTCATCCCTGAAGTCTGGAGACTAGCTCTGGTGGAGCTAGCCAAGTTTCTTTAGGCAAATAGTGCGTCTGGGAGTTGCAGTAAACACTTGGGATGCAAGTTGCAAAGTAATGGAGGGGACTCATTGGCTCTTATAGCTGGGAGTGCAGGGTGGGTCAGGCTTCAGGGGTGGAGGCAGCGGCTCTGTTCTGCCCTCAGGTCAATCTCTTCCTGCCCCTCTGCCCTGCCAAGCACAGCATTTGGCCCTCCCTCAGGCTGGCTCTCCTCAGGGGCGCAGGATGGCTGTCAGCAATGTGCAGGCTACATGTTCTTCATCCGGAGCGCTACTTAGGCTCGGCTTTCCAAGCAAGAGCTCCAAGATGTACCCCGATTAGAGTCCTCCTGGACATCTCTCTTCTCCAACATCCCCCATCCGATCTATCCGAAAGTTGTTGGGTCTACCTTCACAATATATCTAGCATCCAACCACCCCTCGCCCCGGCCGCTGTTACCAGCCTATTGCCAGCCACTGGCATGTCACTGGATTATTGGGGTCAGTTCCTAACTGGCCTCCCTGCTTCTGCTCCTGTCCTCGGCACAGCAGCCCGAGTGGTTCTTGACAAATGAAAGTCAGACCATGTCCCACTGCTCAGAGTCCTCCTGTGGCTTCCCATCTCACCCAGTGAAAGCCAACAACCTGTCAGGGCGTGATCTGGCTCCCTGGTAACCTTTCTGACCTCAGCGCCTGACACCCTCCCTCCCACCCACCCCCCCTCGCCTCTGGTTTCTATTAACAAGCCAGGTGCGCTCAGCTAATGGCTGTGGGTGCTACTGGCTGTCCCTCTGTCGGGGGTGCTCTTCTCCCAGAGAGCCACTCTCACATCACGTGGCCAGTGACGCCAGCCCACGGCACCCATTGGAAATCGCCAGGCCCACAGGCCTCCTGCCCTCAGGATCCCCGCCCTTAATTATCTTTTCCCACCGTTCTGCCCACCTAGTATGTTTATTGCTTTGTCGACCATTTCCTCCAGCTAGGATGGAAGGTATTCTTGCCTATTTGTTTGACTGATGTTTCCTCAGACCCCAGACTAGTATTTAGCTGATAGCATGCGGTAAAAAAAATTTTTTGTGAAATGAACAAATGCATTGGACTGACCTAGACACCCAGGCTACTGCTGAAGTCTTGGGCGGGAAAGTTAAATCCGTAAAGCTGGGAAGAGGACCTACCAAACTGGACTGAACTGGGTGTCTCCAGAGCTTAGAGTTTAGATTATGCTCCAAGAAAGAAACTGGTAAGAATCGACAGGTAATGAGGTTAACAGCACTCGTAGTGTTTATATTGAATATTCCTGGGTCCCATCGCAAAACTATCAATACAAATCAAAATTTTGAGGGGCGGGAGAATCAATCTGCTTTTGAAAATGTTTCTTTCTTTCTTGTTCTTTTTCATTTTTATCTTTTTCATCAGCAGCCCTAGGCGATTCATCTAATCACTAAAACTGAGAACAGTTTGCAGAATGTGTCAGTGCTTGGCAGGCTCAACACAGGTGCACTGTGAAACACGACTATGCTGCGACAAAGAGAACTGAGATATAAGGAGTGGTACTGAGCAAACAGAAGAGAGCGTGTGTACATAGGAGAGGAAAGATGTTCTTGCACTTAGCAAAAGGAAACCCAAAGACCAATATTTGGGGGGTGTTTTCCCAGCACTGGCCAAGGGACGAAGACTAGACCTAGGGATGGCAGATAAGCTGGCCCCTCGCCAGGGCTGTGAGGTAACCTGTCAAGCTCTGCAACGTGAAATGGTCCACAAAACCACCGGTATTAGTCTGTTAGGGCTGCCGTAAAAAGCTAAACCTAACAGCTGGGTTAAACTACTTTTTGTCTCAAAGTGCTGGAGGCTAGACGTCGGAGATCAGGTGCCAGCAGGATTGATTCCTTCCTGGTGTGGGTCCCGGTGCGGGCTGTGAGGGGGAATTCCTTCTGTGCTCCCTTCTGGCTTCTGGTGGGTTGCTGGCAATCTGTGGGGTTCCTGGGCTTATAGAGGCATCATCCGATCACTGCCTTCCTCCTCACATGATGCCCTCCCTCTCTGTGGACACATTGTCCTTTTTTACAAGGACACCAGTCATTTTGGATCAGGAGCCACTCTACTCTTCATCTTAATATATTACACCTGCAATGAATCTGTTTCCAAATAAGGTCACATCCTGAGGTATTAGGAGTTAACACATGTGTCAAACACAAGGCCCGCGGGCCAAATCCGTCCCGCCAGGCCTTGCAATGTGGCCCGCACCACGCTGTCATCACTGCACTCCGCTGCGTTTCCATCACAATGACAGTTTATGACTGTTCAGTAAACCATTCGGCCCGCGATTTAGGCTGGATTTTAGATTTTGGCCCCTTCTCTGATTGAGTTCGACACCCCTAAGTTAGGACTCCAACATGTGAATTGGGAGGGGACACAATTCAACCCATAGCACCATCCTTTTCTCTGTTGTGAGTGTGAGATCTCACCAACCAACTTTCTGGTTCCCAGGAGTGTTCCCAGGTGCCCGGGACTGAGCAGTGAGGGTCCTGGAGAACATACCCACGAGTCTTTCAGTCACTGGAGATGCATGTCCCCATGGTGAGTGGTCATTCTGTTCACTTCAGAGTCTTCCGAGAGTCTGGCTAGCATGAATCAGTTCCCGAGAGCCCGGCCACTGTAGTTGCACTGACAGTGTGAGTTTTGGGGACTACACAGCTGTCAAACCCAATCTAACAAACATGATGGATGCCATTACAAAGGGGGTAGAGATATCTGAGTCGCAGGTGGGGATTCCCAGATATTCGACCACAGACAGTCCATCCTTTCACTGGTCCATCTTCCCCGAACAACAGGTGTTTTGAAAAGTGGTAAACTTCTGAGAGCTCGTCCTAGGGCCAGAGTAAATAAAGCTGTCAACCCAGGAAAATGCCCACCTGCCTTGACTGAGCTCTCTGACAAGACAGCCAAGTACCTTTAGTATCTGGGAGCCTCCGCCGAGGAGAAGAAAGGTCTTGATTTCAGCTTCAATATTCTTGCCTGTCAGTATCCTTTTCTGGCTTCGTCAGCTGTCTTTCAGGTCTCGCGCCCCTAAAAAGAATGCAGAGCTAAGACTTTGTGGAAGATCTCAGAAGGCCCAGGCATTGTCATAACCTAGGAAAAATGTTTTCTTTGATAAGCTTAGACATTTTATCAATTGATCTCCTTGTCTATCCATAGAAAAGGACATAATCAAATGGCCTTAAAATGGCTCAGTTATGGTTGGTTACATATGTAACATGAACTCTCTGGGCCATTAACACTAATTCTAAGCGGGAGAGTTTTAGGTTTTTATTTAAAACTCAAATCACAACAGCCAAAACTTGAGTACAATGAGATTCCCAAACCCTAGTTGTTGACCCAGAATTTAATCCCATGAAGTTTTAATACAGGTAGAAGCCCTCTTACCAGAACACTACTTAACCAGCTCACTGGCTTAGCCTTCACTCTCTATCCCTCTCAAACCCCCTCTGGGGTCAGGTGTACTGAATGCTAGGAGGCTACTGTTTAACACAGTATTTTTCAAACTGTCAGTCTTCATGTCAACTTACTGGGTTGAAATAAATTCACTGGGTCATGACTAGCATTTTCAAAATGAAACAGAGCAGAATGGTTGAATAGTATGCTTAGAATCACTTATTTCTTCTAAAATGTGTTTACTGCCTCATAAAACAATGAAATATAAGTGGGGGGAAACCCCGAACAAATAAAAACAGACATGGAAAATGATACAAAAATAAAGTCAAATGCTTTAAAAAGACTCTATAAAGGCAGGTCACTTAAAAATAAATAATAAAAACTGGCATTAAATTAGTTTTGAGCTAGAAAACTGTAAGAGATGAGGAGGAAATTGTAAAGCCTAAAAGAACTCCACGTGGACACTGTGCTATGTGTCCTTAGCTCTTTCTCCTCAGTAGAGACACAAAGGCTACAAGTCGTAAACCCAGTCCATCAAGAGTGGGGTAACCCAAGGAAGAAAATGAGTGATTTCAATCAGATCACCCACGCAGTAAGCCCAACACCCAAAGACTGGGGAATAAATGTATAAGTATGTACTTTAAGTAAAAATAAAAAGTTTAAAGTTCAATATGTTTTATAATTGCAATGACACCTGATAAAAGGACATACATATATTTTTAAATTTGGGCCAGATCTTAAAGTATGATGAAATAGGATTTGAATACTATAAACTCATTGCACCTATCAATGAAGACAGAAATCACAAAGCAACTACCTTGGCCAGTGTGTTCAGTGGTTGAAGCATTGCCCCGCAGGCTGAAGGGTCTCCTGTTAGATTCCTGGTCAAGGCCATGCAGATTTGATCCCCAATCCTGGTCCCGTGGTCCCCTGGTCCCCTGGTCCGGGCGCATGCAAGAGGCAACCGATTGATGTGTCTCTCCCACGTCAATGCCGTGTGTCTCTTCCTCCCTTCCCCCCCCCCCCCACACACACACACTCCTACCTTCCTCTTTCTCTAAAAATATCAATGGAAAAAAATATCCTTGGGTAAGGGTTAACAACCAAATGAAGTCACAAGCAAAGAATCACATGTATCAAAGATACAAATGATACAAATCACATGTATCAAAGAATGACATGATTAGGGCAAGGGCCAGGGGGGGGGGGGGGAAGTTCACACCAAGTAGGACTATGCTCTTACAAGCTAAAGATTCATGACCAGCCCAGATAACTGATTTTCTGCCAATCTTTCCCTGACTCCTTGGCACTGTCTTCTTGCCGCACTACAATTGGCTCCTCCTTCGTGTATCACTGACTGCTGCAAGTCTGTCTGCTGAGGGAGCTACCAGAGTCCCGGACATGATTCTCTGTATGTCCCTGTTTATACATGCATGCCCATCAGTCAGACCCAAAGCTCCTGAAAGATAAGGACCCAGTCTTGCCTGGTATTCTTAGCACCAGCCTGGGGCCTGGCACTTGGGAAGTGCTTACTAAATATTCGTACATGAATGACTCTGTGCAAAGATAAAGTACTGCCCTAATTTTCAATAAAATGGAACGTAAGTGGAGTCATTTGGAAAAAAATTAAAGTGTTTAGTAATAAAGGTGGGAGGCACTGGCGTGGCACAGAGAGATCGCAGTGCACTGGACTGTCACCGCTTGGTTGGAATAACCATTGAGACCATTCCCCTCGCTTTGCCTTCACTGTGGCCTGACTATGAAGCCTTCGGTGGTTTTGCTTCGCTGCCTGGGAACTTGAAACTGCAGAAGTAAGCCCCTAAGTAGGCAAGACTAAAGGAAATGTCTTTCCACTTCAAACTGATGAGCTGATTTTCTAGCACAAGTCAGAAACGATTGGCTGGTCTGGGGAAAATAAACAGAGCAAAACTACTGCTTTATCCTCAAAATTTCCCCCTCTCTATCTCTAACTATCCAAAATGTGATCATTTTTATCAGCTAGATTATATACACAGTATTTTCCCTGAGTTACAGAGGAATGCATACCAACTGTGAAAGAAGTTGGAGAGAAGTAATCATTATAAAGCAGCAGGGGGGAACCCACTCATAACCCAGCTAACTACACCAGGGCATCAGCTCTGTGTCTGGCGTGTTCACATGGAATCTGGGCCTGGGAGCGGAGAACCACAGGCGAGAGGGGGAACTGATGCAATGAACATCACTCGTTGATGATAACATTCCCAGGAGAGGGTCATGAGCAGGACAGGGCCCTAGTTGAGATTCTCAGAATTTGGGGTCATATTGGAAGCCTGTGCTCCCCTGGGGACCTCCAGCCCTCTGGGGCTCGGCCAGCTGCTTGGCCTTCAGGGAACCCTAACCTTTCTCTGTTCGGGGAGGGTGGTTGCTGGAGCGAAGGCCCTCCTCCTTCAGGGACGCTCAACCCCTTCCACCTGGAAGGGGCTGCCACCCGGTCCCCTGCAGGTTTCCCACGCGGGGCACCGGCAACGACCTCATGTCCAGAACCAGAGCCCTGGGCGGGTGGGTGGTTGTGGGCTGGGGCATGAGAGGCCCTGCAGCCCTGCACCCAGACCGGAGCCCAGAACCCAGCGCACCCCTCCCGCCAGGCATGGGAGCAGGGTCAGCGCGGGAAGCAGGCGCCGCGCTCCCTCCGACCTCAGGCTCCCGCCTCCGCCCGGCCCCTCCGGGCGGCGCGCCAGCTGGGCCACGGCCCACGGCTCCCCGCCATCTCCGCCCCCTCCTCCCTCCTCTCCTCCCCCTCCGCCCCTTCCTGCCTCCCATCCCCCACTCGGCCGCCTAACCTCTTCCCGCCTTCTCCTCCCTCCTCCCGCCCCTCCTCCCCCTCCCCGCCCTCCCTGCACCGCTCTGGCCCCTATGGCCTCCCTCCTCCCTCCTACTCGGTGCGCTCCCGGGGCGGCGGGGCCCGGTGGGTCCCCCCCCCACGCCCCCAGGAGCTGGAGGCTGAGAACTCCAGGCCCCGCCGCTCGGACCCACGTCTGCAGACGCCGGGCCAGGGACGGCCAAGCGGGTTAAGGGCGCACGTGGGCTTCCCAGGAGGATCCTGAGGCCAATGCAGCGTTTGCACACGCGGCCCTTCCTGCGGGCGGGGAACCAGGGGCCCGATTGCAGCTCCGTGCAGACTGCGCCCGGGCGCAGCGGGGCCCAGGCGCCGAGGGCAGCGGGGAGGGTGCAGGTCGCCAGCTGAAGGCCCGGGCACACCCCGCTGCTGGAGCCGGCCTCTCCCCGGGGCGCCGCGCCCTCCCGCGCTCCAGGCCCCGGGGCTGCCAGAACCCGCATAGCGCCTTCCCCTGGGGCCCCGGGCTAAGGGGGAGAAAAGGGGAGCCAGTGTGCTAGGTTAGGGGAGGGGATTGCAGCCCTGAGCCCGAAGGATTTAGAGCCAACAGGATGAACTGACCGAAAAGCAAAAACGATGTGTTCAAGGGGAAAAAAAATCCGTAAAGGACCGTGGTCGGCAAACTGCGGCTCGCGAGCCACATGCGGCTCTTTGGCCCCTTGCGTGTGGCTCTTCCACGAAATACCACAGCCTGGGCGAGTCTATTTCGAAGAAGTGGCGTTGGGAGAAGTTTAAGTTTAAAAAATCTGGCTCTCAAAAGAAATTTCAATTGTTGTGCTGTTGATATTTGGCTCTGTGGACTCATGAGTTTCCAGAGTAAAAAGATTCGCTTAAACCTCGGCCCTGCCTCTGGCTGAATGTAGGGCTTCGATGAGTCACTGAAGCTTTCCGAGGCCATTTCTTCATCTATCCAATGGAACTGTGACCCCTGCTGAAGACGCATGTGACACTGTAAACTCTCCTGTCTTCGCAGATTCATGGCCCCGTCCATCCGTCCATCCGTCTAAGCCTTAGGAGAAAAGCCTTAGGAGACTCTAAGGAGAAAAACAGATGGCTTAACCCTGCCTTCCAAGGAGACCACAGTGAAAGTCCTGTTTCCCAACACTGTGAGCAATGGCTGAAGGAGACGCAGGGGCCTGTGTGACTATTACACAATTCTTGCACAATTGTCTTAACCAGGGTACTCGTATTTCACCATCATTAAAAAAATGGCTTGTTGTGGAGTGCATCTGAGAGGAGGGAATGTTATGAATTAAAGGTTATATCGAAATAGTGAAAAGATGGGTGAAGATTATGAAGCATTCAGTTAAACCAAATAAAACAGTTTGTTGTGTCGCTACAGAATTCCTCGCAGCCTTCGGGATGCGTACCGTGACTCGGAGAGCCTCCCGGGAGCCAGCGTGTCAGGACTGACGGCTCTGTCAAACACCAGGCCTGTCCTTTCTCACGGCCTCACAGGCAGGCTGTCCTAAGCTCATCCTAGAAGTTCTAAGCTTTCGGACTTGAAACAAGTCGTGGGCATTTCACCTTCCTCATCTGTAGCCAAATGCTTGCAAAGAATTAAACCTTTCAGATTCTTACACTAACTATTGCATGCCTCTGTGCCAGACGCAGCGCGGGGCTACAGGTACACAAGCATATACAAGCAGTACTCCAGGTCTCAGGAGAAGACAAGCAGCTGTCAGTTGGCTTAGGGCAGGGACTGGTCTCAAACCCTGGTAGATGCCTACCAGGAAAGAGCAGGGATATATAAGGGTGAGAGGCTGGGCCTGCAGAACCAGGAAGATGGGGAGCCACCATGGAGCATGTCACTGACATCCAAGCCAGGTTACCACTAATCTTTCAAGAGAAGCCAGAGGTCTGAATTTTTGTGTGAAATCACCCGGTTTCACACTTTTACTAGCAGAAAAGCACGTGAAGGACCTCAAAACTCTTTCTGTGGGCCTGCAACTAACTACCCATGTCACCAAAAACCACTCAGAAGTATGACAATAATGCAAGAAGGTTGAGAAACACTGCTTGATAGCTACAAAAGTGTAAGTGCCAGGTGAATAATATTTAATCTTCCTAAGTACCCAGAAATAGTTATTATGGGCACAATGTGTGCGGGCCTTATTGTTTTGACTGTAATAACCTATGTGAATAAGTCATCAGGCTACTGTACTTTGGTTTATCCATAAAACGAAAACAAAAACTAAAAACTTGGCTTTGCCTGAGTAGCAAAAACAAAACAAAACGAAAAACTAAAATTTCCCCAGCAAAGCAAATGAGGGGAACTGACATAACTGTGGAATTCAAAATATTATTTTATGATCCCATCCCCTTCAGGTTCTCAGAATACTTGAGTTCGGGGAGGAATCCCAGTCTACACACATACTATATTTGTGCAATTGCCAATTGTGTTTGAAAACTGCTGCCCAGTACAGTTTGCATCCATTTTGCCAGACATGTCACCCAACGATAGTTTTTTTTATTTACTTTTTTAAGGGATGGAGTTTTGATAAAGATGCTATAGGGTCACAGAAGAGGGGCCCAAATACCATCCAGCCAGTTTGGCTAAGGTTACTTCAAGGAGAAATAAACAGGCAGATGATTAATTTGGCCAAGAGCAAAAAATAATTTATTTTCATTTTCAAATTGTTGGGAGGGGTGCTAGATTGGCGAGGAACAAAAAAAAAAAAGTAAAAAAAAAAGGAGGGAGAGTGAAAATTAACAGCCCCTACTATGTGCAGGCTGTGAGGAAGTGTTACAGACACAGAGAGTAAAATAGGCATGAGATTTACCCCACCCCTATCTCCCAGCAGATAACCACGCTCTCTGCCCACTTCAGGGACAAAGTGCATGCGAAGTCAGCATTTGCCTTTACCTTGCCTTCATCACAAAGGTAGAGCCTTCCTCCCCGGAGCCACATCTCCCATTCGTGGCCCCGCTCTGTCTCCCCTCTCTAGAGAAAGAGCTCCGGTTAAAGTCACCAATACCTTTTCTTTGGCCAAACCCTCAGTGATTAATTTTCAGTCTTTTTCTGAAGCACCTGACACTGCCTCCCCAAGCTTCCTCTCCTGGAACCACCCTGTCTTCCGTTTTGTGTGTTTCTCCTATTTCTCTGGCAACCCTT